GGGGACTGGGCCACTAACCCCAGGGGAAGGAAGGAAGGCCCAGCTACCACTGTGTGGACAGAGACCTTGTTGCCCAGTTCAGGTCCATACAAAGATGGCCTCTGACCAGTGCCAGCCCTGGTCTTATGAACCTAGGAGATGGAGGTGAGGAGCCTTTCTCAGTAAAAACCAGGCTCAGGCAGTTGGGGAATTAGCGGTAGAGCTGAGCACGCCACAGCACCCATTCTCCGCGCTTTGACAAGCTGTGAGTCTGTCAGCTGCTGCCCACCGCACAAAGAAGCCTCTCTGATGAGGATGGGGAGCTGCGCTCACCATGGAGGTACAGGTAGCTGTGTCCATTTAGAAAGAAGATAGAAGTATGTCCCCACCCCCGCCCCGGGGCCTATCGGCTTCCCATGGTGCATGACCCAGTGAACGGTTCTAGGCGTGATGTCAGCCTTGAGGAGCACACCTTAAATCTGACCAGAAAGGAGCTGGTGACACCCGTGACATTTATGATACTCTTGCACCTGTGGGTGTTTCTTGCCAGGATGGTTGTAGCTCACAGGGGTTCAAACTTTAGTTGATTAGTTTTCTTGCCCAGGTCCGCATGCCACCTTCCTGGCACTGCCAAAACTAGCCAGTACAGAGGACGCTTCCAGGTCAGCGCCAACTCGAGTCTTCCATGGCTGTTCTCAGCAATAAGGTCTTGCTATCAAGTTCTGGTGGACACCCAAGAAAAAGCAATTGCCTGTATTATTTGGTTTGGGGTGTCTCTGGGACCTCACAAGCCAATTAGTCAGAGGTTGGTAACCCAAACCTGATACTTTTTTTTTTTTTTAACGAAACGGTTTTCTTTTCTTTTTTTTTTAATCAATTTTTTTTAAGATTTATTTATTTATTATGTACACAGTGTTCTGCCTCCATCTATGCCTGCAGGCCAGAAGAGGGCACCAGATCTCATTACAGATGGTTGTGAGCCACCATGTGGGTTGCTGGGAATTGAACTCAGGACCTCTGGAAGAGCAGTCAGTGCTCTTAACCTCTGAGCCATCTCTCCAGCCCACCTGATACTTTTTTAGAGCACTTTTTGCATCTTGCAAAAATAGAAATTCTGTACCTATTGTAATGAATTCCTATTTCCTGACCCCCAGCCCCTCCCCACCGTATTTTCTGTCTCTGGATTTAGGAACCTCATCACTGAACTCATACTGGCTTATTTCACTTAACACAATGTCCTCAAGCTTTCTCCATTTTATGATGTGTCACGATTTCCGTTTTTAAGGCTGAACAGTGTTCCATCACATAGCTAGAACACATTAGTTTATACACTGCTGTGGGAGGCTGCAGGTTGCTTCTGCCTTGTGGGTATTGTGGATAACTCTGGAAGGGAGCAGAGAACATCTCTTCAGTTGGCTTTCCCATCCTGTTCCTTTGGATCAGCCTGAAGTAGGTCGCTGCTAGCTCGTACGATAATTCTCTGCTGTCTTTCAGAGGAACCTCCAGGGTTTTCAGTACCCAGCAGTGAGGTTCCAGAGCTCCACCTTCACATCTTTGCAGCCCTGCACATGTTTTCTGAGAGATTCCCATTTTTGTCTTGATTCAGATTGTGTGCTGATAGCCATCCAAAGAGATGGGAAGTGATTTCAACTCAACAGTCGCTGGCGGGGCTGGAGAGATGGCTCGGCAGTCAAGAGCAATGGCGGCTCTTCAGGGAGCCAGCACCCACTTGGTGCCTCAGAACTATATATAAGTCTAGTTCCAGGGGATCCGACACCTTCTTCTGGCCTCTACAGCTTCTATACAGATGTTGTACACATGCATACAGGCAAAATACTAAGACACATACACTTTTTAAAAAATTGCTTCTAAATAGTTGGACCTTTTAACCTGTTATGTCTGCTATGACACTGCGACCACAATACCTGACAGAAACAACTGAAAACACAGGGTTTGCTTTGACTTGTGATGTCAGCCCCTCATAGCTGGTGAGGCCGAGCAGTGGGAAGTGTGACCAAGGATGTTCACTTCTCCCTAGAGCAGGAACCAGGAACCTTCCACATCCCAGCCCTTATGACCTTCTGCCAGCCAGGCCCCAACTCATACCAGTTTCACAGTCTCCCATCACATGGCCAGCAGCTGGGAGACAAGTATTCAAGACATGAGAGCACTCCGGGTTCACACATCACAGGCCAGCAGCCAGTGTCCGGACCCCTGATGCACAGGGCTTTGCCTCAACTGCCCGCCCCACCTCCCACACTTCTCTCCCATCTCTCTATTCCAGGTCAATAATGCTGCTCCTAAGGCAGACCCAGCCTGGTAGAGATAGACCTTCCCAGAGGCAGCCAGGCTCACCCTCAGCTTGGAAGAGACTGGCATGTCCATTCTCTTTCCTGGCTTCCGCTGAGACTGCGCTGGGGAAAGCTTGGGGGTCTGCTGCCCTGGGAGCTGCCTTGCTGTGCCAGCAATGCCCCTTGCTGTGCCAGCAATGCCCCTTGCTGTGCCAGCAATGCCCCTCATGACTCCCTTCCTTTGGTTTGTTCTTAAATTTAGCAGAGTGCTTGCTAAGAAGTCAGATTGGCCGAGCATAATGGTGTGTACCTGTCATCTCAACACTGGAGAGCCTGAGACAGAAGGATCATGAGTTCTAGGATAGCCTGGGCTACATAGCAAGCCCCTGCACCAAACAAAACATAAATTGTCCTTGGTCTATTGTCCCATTCATAGTCTAGAGAGTTATTCCTTTTTTTTTAAAAAAAAAGATTTATTTATTTTTATGTGCATTGATGTTTTTGCCTGCATGTATGTCTGTGTGAGGGTGTAGGGTCTTCTGGAAACTGGAGTTACAGACAGCTGTGAGCTGCTATGTGGGTGCTGGGAATCAAACCCTAGTCCTCCAGAAGAGCAGTCAGTGCTCTTAATTGCTGAGCCATGTCTCCAGCCCTGAGAGTTGTATCTTGCCCAGAACGCTAAGGGCCCAGGAGTTTCTAGCCGTCTATGAGCTTGGCAAGCTGTACTGGCTAATTGTTGTTTTTCTTCAGTTTGACACCGGCTGCTGTCATCTGGAAAGAGGGAATCTCAATCGAGAAACTGCCTCCAACCAAATGCCCCATAAATAAGTCTGGGGAGCATTTTCTTGATTAATGATCTATGTGGGAGAGCTCAGCCCACTGGATGGTTAGGTGGTGCTGCATAGGTGGTCCTGGGTTCTATAAGAAAGCAGGCTGAGCAAGCCATGAGGACCACACCAGTAGCAGCACCCTCCATGGCCTCTGCATCAGCTCCTGCCTCCAGGTCCCTGCCCTGCTTGAGTTCCTGTCCTGATTTCCTCGGTGATAGACAGTGACCTGTAAGTCAAACAAATCTTTCTCGCCTCCTGTTGCTTTTGCCCATGGTCTTTATCACAGTGACAGAAAGCAAGGCTTCTATGTTTACTCAGAGAAGCTGGCCAGTTCCGGAAGGTGGGAGCATCAAGAGAGAGGCCACTGATGATGCCTGTGAGGGCCAAACACCCTTCAAGGACGGGGAAAGGAGGAAATCAGTGCCCAGAACTAAGCTGATGTCTCCTGATATTGCTGCTCCCCGGACACACTGCTGGCTGAGTAGAGGGCTATGCCGAGGGACAGGTAGGCACAGCTCGGGGGACAGGGTGCCCTAAGGGTATGATGGACAGGTGGCCACAGAGTTGCCCTATGTCCCTCATAGGGACTCACTTGGTCTCTCTCTTGTTGTCCTTGAACTAAGAGGCTTGGAGACCTGCACCCTGACATCACAGCACAGGACTGTCTGAAAGGTCTTCTGACCCCACCAGCCCACTTCCAAGTGTTAGCAGGTCGCTAGCCCTTCTTTAAGTCCCAGCAAGTGTTGCTGGGCGGAGGGGCAGGCGTCGAAAGACCCGGGAGTCAGTCCTGGGACAGATGGGACCTGTGCCCACTTAGCTTCTCCCAGCCCCAGCGCACACCTGTTACACCAGTATGTCTGCTTTCTGTGGCTCAGTAACACAGTAGTTTAAAGTGGCAGGTTAAGCCCCTTACTGAAGACCACAAGTCCAGGGGTCTCACTGGGCTAGGATCATGGTATCAGCAGGGCAGCGGGATCATCAGCTAGTCCCAAGAGTGCCCACGGACATGATGTCTCTGTTGGTTGAGCCTGTGTCTCAGGGTATGGCTGACTGATAAGCCACAGCGTGGGGTCCTAGGTGTTGGTTATTTGGGCTTGCCCAAGCCACCATTCTTCACCAGCATAATGGGGTACTAAGTTCTAAGCCACGACCTCCCCAAGGGCTGCATGAGTTCATTCCTGGCCTAGCACGTCGTGGATGATGAGAAGGCGGGAGTCTTTCTACTGCACGGTCCCCAGCTTGCAGCAGCCCCACTTGAGCCTGAAGCTGGCCCACGACGACCCAGCCCCCCTCCCAAACTCTCTGAGCCACTGCTTTGGGAGTAGTTGACAATGACCTAAACTCATTCCCAAGATGCTCCCTGTCAAATGTTCATTCTGAGGGACAGTAAACACAGCCTTGTGAATTTCATTGACAACCTCACCCCTCAGGCTCAGATTCAGTGGGAACATGGTGCCAGAGGACCAGCTTCCCATGCTGTGCACCCTTGTTTCCCTTCCCCTTCCATCTACATGAGCCACACAGCTGCTGTTCTGCCTTTATTGACAGTAGACAGTTACTCGGAACTACACCTACAGAGTCTTGGCACTGCCCGGAGATGGGGTCTTAACACTTAAACAGCCTGACTTATGGAGGGCACTGGCACACAGCACCTGAGCAAGGCTGACCAGCTGGGCTGGGCTGCAGCGTCCAGGGATGGGGATGCACCCACAGTGTGCTAGGTAAGGGAAGGCCTGGAAGATGGCCCTTGAACACAGTGCCTTACCCTGCCCCTCCAGACAGCTGACCCAAGGGCTGGTTCTTCTGAACCCTAAATGTGGGGTCAGACATTAAGGTGGGAAAGAGCAGGCAGAGGGGGCCCCCACCCCTCTTCCCAATGACCCACCTGCCTATAGAATCCTCACTTGTAAAAACCAATCATGGAACAAGAGAACAATGCAAGAACAGACACAGGCAAGAAAAGGCAGCCAGCACCAATAATATCCCACGCGGTACTGCTGCACAGGCTGGCGGTTCATGTCTTCCCGTCACCAGTGTCCCACACTTGGCACAGACAGGTCTCTGCCTTTTCCTCCTCAGCCCCTCAGGCCTTAGAGAGATCCTCTCCAAACTCAGTGTCCCCAGGAGTAGATGTGAGCCACGACTGAACGCTGAGAAAAAGATCTGGCCTAGCAGGAAAAAGGCCCAGTGCTTCCCAGAAGCAAAAGTGCTTGTTCATTCTCTGAATCGCCGGGCTGCAGGAGCCTGCCGGGGTCTGCCTGAATTGCAGGGCTGCGGGAGCCTGCCAGGGTCTGCCTGAGCAGGCTGAAAATGTGATTCGTGGTCACCAGGAAGTTAGGATTGCTGAGTGGTGGAGGATCTGCCAAGAGTCTCATTCCAGGGACCTCACCTGGGGTCATAATAAATATAAATAAATTTACACATGGTCCCAGTGGTCGGTATGGTCCTGGAAACTCCAGGAGGAGTGGGCAGGAGCCCACGGAAGAGGTCAACCGTCTCACGTTCAAGGCAGGTCCAAGGCTAACCAGGCCTTTCTCCAGCCTTGGGCCATGCTCTGAGGCACTGGCAGAGGTTCCTTTCCTGGGAGAACATGTGTGATCAGAGAGTTCCCTCCCGAGTCTCTGTGATACACCACTGTGTCCCAAGGTGAGCAGTTGACCACCCAGAGCCTGCCAGCACTCGGCTAAAGAGAGCCAGACTTCAACAAGGCCATGCAGGCCCTGTCTCAGGACCTCCAGGAGGAGGGGAGGTGGGGTGCTTGCCACTCCCCCATCTTCTGACTTGGGTGCCCCAGAAGTGTCCCATGGTAGCATGGGGGGAGCAGGAGGAACTAAGCACTGTCACTTCCTTGTCAACCAGCAGCTGGAGACACTGTTGAGGCCATGGTGCCTTTCTCCAGGCCGGCCGTTCACAGCAGAGCTATGGGTTTATTTCCTGGAGTGCCCAGGTACTGAGCAGAGGTAGCCACCGCCGGCGCCACACTGTCTGGGGTGGAGTATGCAGCATAGAGACCAGTCACCTGCACATCGGAGAAGGCCTGGTCGCCGCTGCCAGAGACAGGGGTCAGGCTTGGGGCCCCCAGGTCACAGCCAAGTGGGGAGTCTCCGAAGGCCCCCAGAGTCTCCAGGCTAAAGCTGTCTTCCTTCACCTCTTCCCAAAGGTTACCTTGCAAAGACAAAAAATCATTTGGGTAAGTTGGCTTAGGGTCAAACAGCCCTGAGTTCAAATTCCCTTAGGGAAAGAGGCAGAGATCATGTGTGGTTTTGAGGCCTTGTTTTGTTACAAAGAGCGGAGAGGAAGCAGAGTTCCAACCCTAGTCTTCCTCCTACTGCTGTGTGTCCCTGGGAAAGCCACTTTAGTCTCTGGGCTGTGGCATAAGGTAGAGATGATCAAACTCCCACCTCTGAGGTGAGACCAGAGATCATGTGTGGAAAGGATTTGGTTCTTATTGGGTGGTACCACCAAGATCAAAGCCAGGAGATCAACGCCACTTCCCCTTCCGGTTTGACTCTCTCTGGTCCAGAGAGAGAGAGGAGCAGGGAGGTGACACATGCCATTCAACTGTGACAGAGCTCTCAGCTGATTCTCCCTACTGGGGGACAGGACATGAGCCGGGCATGCCTGTTAGAGGTCGGGTGAGTTGGGTGCCTTCACTGAACCATACAGTACCCTGGTTGATTCTTGGATGAGTCTATCAACTCATCCTCTCACCTTTGACCTACCGAAGAGGGCACTGTGCCATAGTGTAACCCCCCGCCCCCCGCGCCAACTTAGCATGCGTAACTCGGAAGCAATTACTGAAAAGAGTTTGAATAGTAGACTCAAACCCTAGATCTGTCAGTGAGTGGCCAGGGAACCCAGGCTGGTGATAACTTGACTTCTCTTTGCTTCAGTGGCCTCATCAGAACAGGGACATGAGATGGCAGGGCCTTGGGACTATAGCAGATCATGCCTCAGAAGTCCTCGGCTGGTATACAGCACGAGCTTACTAAGTGTTTAATATGTGGGGTGCAGGCAGACTGCTGCTGGGCTCCCATCTCTGGCTCCAACCCCGTCCCACCCCCATCTCTTGCATCTCACCCTGGAGAGCAAAGTCCATGATGCTGGGGTCCAGAGCGTCCACCTCCATGTTCATGTCAGTGCTGATGTTGAGGAAGTCTCCAGGAGGCCTACCCATGGCTGGCGGGGGGACAGGCCCTGGGCTGAGGCTGGGCAGGGCGTGAAGAGGGGGGGACTGGGCTGGTGCCGGCGAGTCTGGGGCCAGGTGTGTCTGCGACTGGAGCTGGTGGTGCAGGGGGACTGACTGCAGGGACAGGGTCATCAGTGGCTTCGGTGGGAGCTGGGAGATGGTCAGGCAGCTCAGCACGGGGGCCTCAGGTTCCCCGGGTTTGCCAGGACGCCGGCAGCCTTCCGGCCGGTCTGAGATAAGCTTGTCCAACTCCTCTGCAGACAAGAAAGAAGTGTCACTCAGAAGCCCCTGCTGTCACCAGGCCCTAAGGCCCTGTGCCACCACCCATGTAAATTGAGCAACCGTCTTAAGTCTGCCTCCTCTTCTATGTGATGGCTGTGGAGATGCGATGCCGTCTCAAGCCACTAGAGGGCAGGAGTGAGAACTGCCATGAAATCCTAACAGCCCCTCCCCTCCAGATAGGACCTTACAGCACAGATCACTGTGGCCCAAGGACTTTAACTGAATTCTAGCCAGCCTCTCATGAGGGACGAAGGCCCCAGGAGACAGCCAGCTCATGGAGACCATCCCACTCTATGTACAGGAACAACATTGAAAATCACTGCTGTGGGCTAAGGGCCGGATCCCTTTCCGTGGGAACGGATATAAGCAAAGGGCAGACATCACCCTTTTCTAAAAAATGTGTGTGCACCACAGAGCACATGCCAAGGTCAGAATACAGTCTCAGGCGTGGGGCTCACACCCTTCCCCACCGCCCATCTTGCCAAAGGAGCTCTAAGATTACTGATACATGCTACCACACCTGCCTTTACCTGGATCCTGGGGATTCGAACTCGGGTCCTCGCATTGCAGTATGTGCTTTTCCCACTCAGTCATCGCCCCAGCCCCAGAAATCACTCCTGTTTGGCTGTTGCCTTTGTCTCCTTGGATGCAGCACAATGCTGATACTGGACCAAAGGGGACCTAAAATCTAGCCGGGCCACTTGAGAGATGAGACTCTAGAAGGCCAGACAAGTGGCCCAGGATCTCACAGCAAGCTGAGACCAAGGCCCAGGAGCCCTGGGATGAGTACTGGGCTGGCCCTCCTGCCCTTTCTGCCAAAGTCCTTCTCCCTCTCACTCAGTGGAGCACTGCTGCCCCGGCCCAGCTCTGCCACTCGGACCTGAAGTCACCACTTCGGCTAGACTGTCTGACCAGTGAGCCCCAGGGATCCTTCCATCTGTCTCCCCAGCACAGGGCTCACAGACACACGGTGCCATGCCCGGCTTTTACATAAGATATTCTCTTTCTCTCTCTTCCCTTCTCCCCCCCCCCCCCCCCTCTCTGCTACATGTGTATGGTCCCAGCAGAGGCCAGGAAAAAAAAAAAAAAGCCAATACCGTTCATCTGGAGCTACAGACAGTTGTGAGCAGCCCAATGTGGGTGCTAAGAACCCAACTTTCATCCTTTGTAAAACCGAGAACTGCTTTTAGCCACCCAGCCGTTCTCCAGCCCTCTGATTATTTCTAACATCAATTCCGATGCCATCCTAGAGCTGCAGTGAGAAACTAGGGATGGCAGATTCAACAGATTTCATGATTTTCAGCTTTTAGATGGGGCAGGGAGTCCTGGGAGGCTGGGGAGGTGGTGGGTGCCTGTGAGCGGTGGGCGTGGCTCACCCGGGTTGGCCATGCTGCGGTGGATGGCCGCAAGGTCCTTCCTCTTCCACTTGTGCATCTCCTCCTCCATCTTGTCGATACGTGCCAGGTTCAGGGCCCACAGGCAGCCCTTGCGTGACGAGCCACTGGATTTGGTTTCTACCTTCTCGAAGCATTTGTTCAGTGACAGGTTGTGCCTGACTGAATTCTTCCAGCCATCAGGTGCCGTCTGTGGGGACACATGGGTACCCAGTAGACTTGAGGGGTCCCTACTATCAGGCATGACAAAGCTGTAGGGCTCAGAGTGCGGCTCAGTTCAGTGCAGAGGAAGTCCTGGATCCCTGAGGCCCAGGGGGAGGCAGGCAGCTCCAGCCCTACCCCACCCTGGTCAGAGCCCTCACCTTGAAGTAGGGAAAGTGCTCCTTCATGAAGCTGTAGATCTCGCTCACCGGCAGGCTGCCGGTCTTGCTGCTCTTCAGGGCCATGGCAATCAGACAGCTGGGACCAGAGATGGGGCCACAGACAGGCCTCAGGTGACAGCCTAAGGTGCCCTCTGCTGGTACCAACCCCTCTGCTGGCACTCCTAGCCGTAGCTCTTGACCTGCACTCCTGGGCCTGCACCCGTCCCTTCCTGACTCTTCTCCCAACTCAGTCACTGCAGTGAGCTGAGAAATTACTCTTGCCTTTTGACCCCACTCCCATAGACGTCACCCAAGATGCTTCCATCCCCCCCCCCCCCACAAGCCCAAGATACACACACCTATTTCTGTGAATGACTTTTTTGAAACAGGCTCGGAGAGGCCAAGCCATACAGCCGGTGAGGATGGAGAACCAGAGAGTCTTATGCGGGGTCAGCTGGCCACATGGCAGGCCCTCCAAGAATGGGGTCCCGCCTGGGAGTTCCCTTGGGAGTCAGGTCACCTTTCCTATGTGCCTAAGATGCCCCAATGGCAGCTGTTGTGCCCTCCCTCTGGGTAGTCAGACCTCACCTGTAGGAGTAGATAGGTTTGGGGTAGTGTTTGGGGTGAGGCTCCTGAGATGAATGTACTGCCATGTGGGCTTGTGGGTAGGAAGATCGTGCCGCAAACGGAGAGCTGTAGAGGCCTGCAGGCGGGCACTTCACCGGAAGGGGCGGGGCCAGGCAGCAGAGAGAGAACAAGGGGAGGCAATACAGAGCGCAGTCACCAACCCCAGCCCAGTTTCTAACAGCAAGGTTTAAACACAGAAGATGCCCAGCAAGGCAAGAATGGCGCAAAAGCGTAGGCATGGAGGGAGCCTTATCCGTGGGAGCCCAAGGTGTAGGTGGAGGTTCAGAGAGTGAGTACAGGACAGTCTGTCTCCGAGCCTGTGGTACCTGCTGGGACCCCAGGGGCAGAGGGAACTGGAGTTGGGTGGCAGGAGAATACAGCTGTGGCACTTCCTGTAGGCCCGATGATGACCGGCCTCCTATGGGGAACTGGTTCATCTGCTCAGCCTGGAGAGGACAACACAGAAGATCAGGGAGTGACAGTCACCCCCCTCTTTCCCAGCCCTGCGGTGATACTTACGCTAGTTCTGTGACCGCCTATGGGGCCCAAACCCAGCATGCCTCTGGGGGCCATGACAGCTTGGCCACGGAGCTGGGGACGTGGGGTTGCACCCACATTCAGGTCTGCCACCCCAGCCAAGGCACCTGTAGGAGGAAGGTACAGATAAGCTGGAAATGGTGGCCACAGTTGGGGGTGGGGACCACCCCCCCACCCCATCACCAGGTACACACAGCAAGTGCTTCCAAATCATTCTTCTGGAATGTGGTAGTTAGTAGTGGGGTTCCTATAGCCTGTGTAATCTGGCCAGCCTCAGTGTCTCCATTTCTACTGACCCCTTATCTATTTACAAAGTTGTATGATTGAGATGCTGAGCGCGTGATTAAGCACATGATAAAATCTCAATTAACATGAACCAATAGTGACGATGATAGACCACATCGGTTCCTGTCCTTTATGAGCTAAAACACCAACTTATTGTTCATCTCCTCAAAAGCTTCATGCTCGTTGAGAACTCTAGATTTAGATACAAATACTTTTGTCTCCCTCTTCTTCCCTGAAGCCCTGCTAGTCTGTCAAAGATTAGGCCAAGAATAACAGATGCGCATCTACTTCCCTTGCTGGGCCTGTGGCAGACATTACTAATCCATCACAGAGTCTCATTGCACTGGCTCTAATCAAGTAAAAGTGACCTGTAAGAGGCTGCAAGGTTCTGGCTTATTTTACCATGTACCAAACCCTGACAGCTTTAAGATGTTTCCTGTATGGACCACTGGCTCCTGTAAGAATAGTTCTTTCATGTTCCCTGAAGATGAGGAAGCTGATCAAAGGGGCAGGCACATCCCAATGCTGCATAGCTGTCTTCTGGAGTTCTATATTAGAGCTAGGAAACTGACCAGCAGGCTGAACCTGGCCCATAGCCTGATTTGTCTATAAAGTTTTATTGGCACACACCCATTTGTTTACATATAGTCTGTGGCTGGAGTGACATTCAGTACTGTCGACATCAGTACTGAATAGCTTTGACTTATACTTTAGGAATTAAAAAGTCTAAAATAGTCTATTTCCAGCAAAGGTACGGCAGAGCACGCCTATAATTCCAGCACTTGGGAAGTTGAGGCAGGATGATCTGGAGTTCATAGCCAACCTGGGGTATTTAGGGAGATCTTATCTCAAAAGTAAATATTTCCTGGTCCTTATTGGAAGACAAAACATTAGCTGTATACATTGTTCAAGAAAAATGTGCTTGAGGAGCCGTCCTGCCGGACACCGATGGCCACCTCTGCCCTGTCCTTAGGAGGCAGTGGCTTCTCTGACACCGCTCTCATCAATGCTGTCTTCTATCCACTTCCTTTGATTACAACTTCCTGTCATTCATGGAGCCCCTACTAAGTGCCAAGACTCTCTCAGAATCTTCTACAACGGGAGACAGTAGACTGGTTTTCTAAAGGGTCAGACAGCAAAAGCAAAGGCCTTGCCAGCCACCTGGTCTGTCGTCTTCATTTTCTTACAACCTTCAGAAAATCTCACCCCCACTTTAACACCTGCCAGGACAGGCCTTGGCTTGTGCTTGGTCCACCCAAAGTTTGCTGGCGGTGGGAAGTGTTTGAGACGTCCATGTGTCTTCTTCAGCTTGGCATATCACTAAGGACGTGTGGACCTGCTCCCATTTTACAGATATGAACACAGAGGTCAGAGTGACAGGGGCCTCTAGCACTCCGCGGGCTGGTAGCCAGGGCCACCTACCCTGTTTGAGCCTACCTGGGTGTGGATGTGGCGCACCGGGGCCGCCCAGGTCTATCCGTCCGCTTGCCATCTGCTGCAGTCGAGGCACGTCCACGGCTGTGAGCCAGGACAGCGACTGAAGGTCTCCAGGGAGGCCATCATCACCCATGGGAGGCAGGAGCCTGTTCCAAAAACCAAAACCGCAAATCCAGAACTTTCTGAGCACCTCCATGATGTCACGGTGGAAAACTCTACAACCTGGCTCATTTGAGGGGTCCCCGTCCAAATGTGGGTACAATGAAAACAGTGTACATAAATTCCTTCATGCCGGCCATGTGAGACACACAGACACCTGGGAATTACATCTTCAGTCTCCGGCCCCTCTGCAAAGATGGCTCACTCACTGTATATACCTCAATACTCCCCAAACCGCCAAATTGAAATTTAAACACGTCTGGTCCCAAATGCTTGGATAAGGTATATGCGTACTGTGTCCCCTCTTCCATATGGAACACCGAGGTTCAGTACAACACATCACTTGGTCAAGGCCACTTAGCATGGCACAGCCTGCAGCTAGGGCTCTTTGTTGTCACCCAGGCAACCCCTGGGGCCCCACGAGGCCTACGGTCCTCAGCAGGCTGACAAATACATCCATGAGCTACAGATATTACTCTCTGCCAAAGACGCTGTGGTGGGCAGGAACCCCAACAAGGGGAGGACTCTGGGATCCCTGAAGTCCCAGGTGCCGTGTGGCCAACAGTTTTGTGGTGACATCTTGAGTACTCTGTCCTGGGATGCCCACATCTCATCCGTGCCAGGATCTGTCTGCTCTGTCGTCAAGAGACTACAGCCTCCAGCCCACACTCGCGGTCAGACCAGAGTGAGACTTGGGAAGAGCGGAGTGAGAGGAGACTTGTGCCCTGGGTTCCTCCTGCACCTGTGGGGGTGCCTACCGGCCTCTCCCTCTCTTCCTGTCTCTGCTCTCTTGTGTTTTAGAGCCACGGTTAGTGTTGCCATAGCTACCACTGCTCAGTTGTCTTAGGCCTGGGCCATCAGGTGACTATCGGCTTCCTCGGCCATTGGCTGCCTCATAAAAAAACAGGGCCTAGAAATCATTTGAAAACTAGCTGGTCCATGTCAGTGGCAACAGTTGGCCCGGCTGCCGTCCCCTGGTGGCCCATTGTGCCACAAACGACTGTTGCCCTGCGGCACGTGGCCCCCATTGTTCTGGGTCTCAATGCTATTGTTTCTGTGGTTTCCTGCCTGCCACCACTTCGGCCTGCTCATAATTCATCTATCTGACTGGCAGTGCTGGGCCTGGCCTGGGCCATGCCATCTGTCCCCTAGGCCCTCAGAGACTATGGCGTGAAGGGGAGGGGTTGACCCCACTCTTGTCCTCACCCCACAGCCAGCCAGCTTCCCCGGGGAGGCTGGGAGAGCCCCATTCCTTCCCCATTGCCTGTGCTGCTCTGTTTAGGACTGGGTGGTGGAGAGATGCCCTGTTGTCTGCTCTCACAAGGTGGGAAACTCTGCAAGGTTCCAGGAACTTGCCAGGAGCAAATCCAGGAAGTGTTGTGCACAGCGGCAGAGGCTCAAACTCGGGATTCTAATCCTGGTTTCCTTTAAATCACTCGCTTTAACCTCTCTGAGTCTTGGCTTTTTAATCCGTAAATCACAGACAACTGTCCCCTGTCAAGCCTGTGTGACACCGAATAGCACCTGGTTCCCAACAGGAGCACGGTTTCTTTAGGGGCCATTAACACCAAAATTAGCATCACAATTAAGAATAGCCCTGCTCAGAGTCAGAAAACACACAACCCAACCAAGGCCACTAGCCCTGTTCACTTACTGAGATGCCCTTAAAGGCAGACCCGTGCTATTCCCATTTTACATATGGAGAAACTGAGTCCCTGGGCTGTCTGTCCTTGGGCCTTTGTGGTTCTCGGAGGGCCCGGCTCTTGCTTTTCCTCCGTTCTGGAGACTATCCTACCATCCTAACTGCTTTCTGAGTATTTCACCTGAATGTCCCACACAGGCTTCTCACTGTACTCTAAAATGGTCCAGGAAGGGACAGCCACACCAAGGTCCCAGTCTCATCCAGCCTGGGGCAGGATCATTAGGGCTCCTGGCTCCTCTTGGATGAGTCTTCCTTTCTGCAGACCCCACCCGTGCCTTGGCTCTGTCACCATCTGCCCCGGGTGCTCCCCACTGTTACTCAGCTGTCTACCTAGCCCTCCTGGGACTCACTAAGGACCTGGACCCTGTGTGCAGTCAATGCATGCTTATGTACCCACAGGACTGGTAGAAACAGGCTGAGCCCAGGTCACTGACCCCAAGAAAGACGAGAGTGACAATAGAGTGTGGCTCTGCTAGAGGAGCTCTCTGCCCCCATGAGTTCCTTGTCTCTGAGTACCAGGAGGGACACAGATAGAAGAACACCTTACTGTACAAACGGGGAAACTGAGGCTAGCACAGTAAAAGTCTCTTTGCACGCAATTGAGGCGGCAAGGATTTAAATCCGGTTTCTGTTGCACTTTTCACCTTCACCAAATGAGACAGTATGCAGGGTACAAGCTGGCCCTGTCCTCCATTCTTGGGGGTTTGCTATCTATTTTAGGGGTCTGTGACACCCCTGTTGCCTCAGGCACGTGAAAGGCCATCTGCTCCTTCCTTCCCCCAACCCCCAGCCAGAATGTCTAAGTGTGCTCTAAGTGTACAGTGCTGGTCGGCCTGGCCAACCCTGCCGCACTCCTTTGAAGGAGCACTGTGGCAGGAGTCCGCTAGCTCCAAGCCCCTCCTCTCTTCAGCACACAGGGACCAGGAACTGACTGATGTGTGGGAGGACAAAGGATGGACTGTCCTTAGTGTCAAGTTGAGGAATATAGCGGGGGACCCGTCTTCACATGCACAGGGCCCCCAAACTTCTTCCTCACCAACTCCTCTACATCCCCATTCAGAAGGCACCCATGCCCAGCCTCGCTTCCTCCTGGTGCTTCATAGAGTGTAAATATGGGTGAAGGGCTCCTGGCTTTGGGAACTACCTCTGGCCTCCTGCCACCAGCCCTCAGGAAAACACTTATTCCCTAACCGTGGTTTTCTGAACTGTAAAGGGGTGTGGATGAGAATTGTGACACCTCAGACCCACAGAGCTGGTTTGGAAGGATGACGGAGAGGCGGTTTGGGATCGCTCCTGAGAAAGCGTACAGACCGAGAGCAAGCAGCTATGACCTCGCTCCATGGGATGTGAGAAAACGAAGAAGGTAGTGAAAACCTGGCCTGGTCGTGGAGCCTTGCAAGTCTGATTCTCAGTGAGGAAAAACCCTGGGGTCACCTTGTCCCTGATGCCCGCACGCCTGCCAGCTCCAGGGGCGCAGAGAAGAAAATACCCAAGACCAGCTCTTCCCACCCGTGCCCCTCCCCCACTCTCCTCTTTTGAGTCTCTGTCTCTGTCACTGTGACTGACAGGCTCTGTATGAAGTCCTGGCCTCACCCTTCTTGTTGGGTGAAGTCATATGCTTCTGAACCTTCTAAACCTTAGTTTGCACATCTGCATAATGGGGATGACAGCCTTGGAGGCTAAGTGTCCTTTCTCTCTTCCTCCTAACCCTCTGGTGGGGCAGTCAGGGTTTCTACATCCCACTGACCCATCTTGTTCCCACATGCTCACCGTCCCCCACCTGACTACCGTGTCCCTGCTGCATGACAGCGAAATGTCCAGGGATGGGACTCGGGCACCTGCAGTTAATGCTCACCCCATGTTTCCTCTTACACACAGGTGACTCCCACACACCTTGTCCTAGAAAGCTGAGTCACCACCCTCTGGCTGATTGAGTGATCTCATTCTTACCCAGGAGTAGTGTGTGATGGGCCCTGAGGGACACTGTGAATCCCTGGGTGGGGTGGATGCCCCGGCCTCCAATGACTGCTGTAGTTTTTTTTTGAGGGAGCCTGCCTTTTGCTCACTCACAGGGTGCGCCTCTCCTTGCTGTCTCCCTGTGACCTGACCTCCCTGGCTGCACCCATTTCTCTGAACCCCAAAGAGTTAGTCTCATAGTTGTCTACAAACCTCTGTTCTCTTGAGCCCTGCTAGGTTCCCAGCTGAGGCAAGGCACCACACAGGTTTCTGGGGACCCTGAGGGTCTAGAGGACTGGGAAGGCTAAGACAGGAGCTGAGCTTCCTACCAGGTGCAAGTAGCCCCAGGAGTCCCCGTTACTGAAGCAAGAGACTTTGTCTTCTCTATAGGAAGAGTCACAGAGCCCAGGACAGGTCTCTGCACACAGTAGACACTCAACGCAAATGCACCCCTCTTTCCAGACATTCAGCTCCTACTGTCTTAGAGCCAAGCAGGGTGACAGACCCAGGTATCCCCCATGGCAACAGTACATCTTGATCTTACAGCCTGGCCCCCACCCTCCTGGGCATGTCTGGCGGGAAACTGTCACACAAGCTGTTCTTGTCTCCAGGATTAAGCTTCTGAGGACTGTGTTTACCCAGCTTACATATCCTTTGTAATAGCTTTCTGACCGGTTTACAGAAAAAAAAAATTAAATGCTTCTTAGCATGCTCAGAAATTCCCTGAAAGACAGGAGTGGGCAGACTGTGGTATCATGTGATTTGAGGAGAGAGGCAGGTGTTGTGTCCCTCTAGAACAATAGCTGATGTGAGAAATGTGTGTGTGTGTGTGTGTGTACATGCACGTGTATGTGCATTTTGGGGGGTAGCATGACTGGGTCCCAGCAAGGCTACTTCTCTCCCTTGTCTATACAGGAGCTGGGCTGCTATTCCTATGCTGACCTTGAGGAGGGAGCAGGTAAGGATGACGAGACGCTAGTGCCCCTGCGAGTCTACCCAGGTTACGGCTCCACCCGCACACACAGCGCACACACAGGGGACACACAGCGCACACACAGGGTATACACAGCACACACACAGGGTACACACGGCACACACACAGGGCACACACAGGGGACACACAGGGCACACGGCGCACACACGGGACACACAGGGCACACACACAGGGCACATACAGGGGACACACGGCGCACACACAGGGCACACACGGCGCACACACATGGCACACACAGCACACACACAGGGCACACATGGTGCACACACAGGGGACACATGGCACACACACAGGGCACACACAGGGGACACACAGTGCACACACAGGGAACACACAGCACACACACAGGACACACGACACACACACAGGGCACACACAGCGCACACACAGGGCACACGGCACACACACAGGACACACGGCACACACACAGGGCACACACGGCACACACACAGGGCACACACAGCGCACACACAGCGCACAAGAGGCTCTTGAACAGTGGTTCATCACTATGCAGTATTTGTCTGCTCTCCCATCCATCCAGTCAACTCTGAAGTAGCCATCCTCTCCCCACTGAAGAAAACCACGGTGTGTGTGTGCGTGTGTGCGTACGTGCTGTGTGTGTGTGGGGGGCACTTTCCCTTCCTAGATCACTTCCATTTTTAGGGCAGACCCTGACATTTTTGGGAAGTCAATGATCAGGGCAAGGACTCTCCTTGGGGTACCATGAGTGGGTGCAAGCCTAGCATACACCAGTGCGTCTTCCTTGTTCATCTCCCACTCTGTGGAGGGAAAGTCTGCGCTCGCTGAGCTAAGTTCCAAAAGTTGAGGCAACTGCTCAGGATTTTTCCCTTCTTCCTCTCCCCAAATATAAGCCTGTGGGCAAGGGCTGCCACCCCGTTTTCTTGTCTGTAGCTGGCGGTGGAGCCGGGATCATTCCGGTAACGATAACATGAGTGTTCTTGCTGGGACTGAGAAAGCACCAAGCATCTAGTACCCAGAATTCAGCACTCTGGGAGTGGACACCCCCCACCCTGAGCTGGTGATGCTCAAGGCTGCTCTGAGACAGAGCTGCACTCCGGCTGCTCTGGTGTCAGCTACTAGGAATAGGGACTGGAGACTGCTCGCTGTCCAGGCCTCTGCCACAGACCCCTGACAGCTGGCCCAGAGCTGGGCCGTTGGCTGCAGCCATTGATAGTTAACTAACGGCTAAACTAGCCCCAGGGGGATGGAGCACCAGGCAGTTGCTTGTGGCCTGCACTGGATTCCCAGCCTTGAGATGCAATCCTCAGAGCAGTCCCTGGAGACGTAGGAGCGCAAATGAGAAGCCCACAAACTCTCCTGCACTATTATTCAGGGAGAAAAATGGGAGCTGTTGGAAGCAGACTCCCTGTGCAGAGTAACACAAATCCCCCTGCCAGGAAAGTACTATCCCAGGCTGGCTCACCGCCCCCTTGCCGGCCTGCAGCAGGCAACCCCCTACTCTGAACAACCCGCTGATTGGTTCTCAGAGGTTTCATTTCACAAAGAGGATCAGAGAGGGTAGTAGTAAAGTGTCGGGGTGTGTGTGTGTGTGTGTGTCACACAGTGGTGAGGTAATGTGTTCTTTACCAGGGGGTGTGGGACTAGGGGAACAATGATCATGGGTATGTGGCAACTTCAGGTTTGAGTCCCCACTAGGCCTGTCACTTCCACGTCATCTTGCTAAAGCATTTACCCTGCCTAATCCCTGGATTCATTCCCTTACTAGGCTGGCACAGGAATGTTACCCTCCCAGGATGGTTTGGGGACAGCTGGTCACCATGTATGCTGTGAATCTGCTGCAGAGGAGGTGATGGCCTGAGGCAAAGGGGCCTCCACAGTTGCAGTGAAGGTTGAGTGTTTTGCCATCTGGATGCCTTAGCATCCAATGCAAGGGTGTGCATGGCTGCAGGTGGGAAGGGCGTGCGTGGCTGCAGGTGGGAAGGGCGTGCGTGGCTGCAGGTGGGAAGGGTGTGCTGGGCCGGGTCCAGAACCTCTGGATTCAGAGCTGACGGAACCACACCTGCTTCTAGTCCCTGCTGCCGGCTAGTCGGGCCATCCCCTCTGTGGGAGCTCTCTGTCTTCTGGCTTTAGAACAGGGCAGTGCACAGGGCTGCAGGCAGTTTTTGGGTTGCACTGGCCTGGATGTGTAGCCCGAGCCTCAGGGGAGCATCTGTTAGGTGACACATGTGTGTCCCAATTCAGAGATTCCATCTCTACACTCCCACAGGCCTCTGTGGTTCTGACGCCCACGCAGTCCAGTGTGGCCATGCTGGAAGCAGCAGTAACAACTAGTTAAGCCCAGCTCTGCAAGCTTTGTAGTTAATCCTCGTGGCAGCCTAATTTTAATTTTTTTATTATTATTTGGGGGAACATTCATATCAAGACACATGCATGGGGATCAGCTCTCTCTTCCCACCTTTTCCATGGCTTGAACTTGGTTCACTAGCTTGTGCCACGAGCGCCTTTATCTACCGAGCCAACTCACTGACACCCAGTCCTGCTCACTTTAAAGACAAGAATCTAAAACATGGGATTCAGCAGCAGCAGGCCCAGGGACTGGCATGTGCCTGACTGACAGTCTCTGTCCTACCCCCTTTCCTGACCCTTCTGGGACTCTATGCAGCGGGAATCAGAGTCTTTGAGCTCTTCCATCCAGCCCTGGGGAGAACTAGGCTCGCAGGTTTTCCCCCTTGGAGGGCAGCAGTGTCTGAGTGTGTGCCAGGCCTGCTGGGTGTCTGTTAATTTATTTAATTATAGCAGTTTTATTGTCCATTGTATTAAGCCAATGAGGGCCCAAAGGTGATGTGACCCAAAAGCATCATACCACTGGCAAGGGGACAAGCCAGAGATGACTGGTCGGTTGCTATAGCAACCCCATGCTTGTGGGTGCCATTTATTGCCATTTTACAGAAGAAGAAACTGAGGTTTAGAAAGTGCCAGAGAAGCTAGGTTTACCCAAGCTAAAGATGCTCACACAGCCCCCACCCATGATTATTTACCTCTATAGCAAGTAGGAAGCCAGTGACATAGGCTGTGTGATGCTGGCCTCAGTTTCCTCACCTGAGTGGAGGGCCCAGCAGAGGCTGGGAATGGTGCGTACAGGAACTGCCTTTGCACCAGGGCCAGGTGCTTCATACACACACACGCATGCACACGCATGCACACGCGCACACACACACACACACACACACACACACAATGCATGCACATACACCACAAAGATAAATGCACCCGTTTGCCCCTTTTGTGTCCAGAAACAGCCTTCTAATTGGAGACTGCTTGCTGCCTCAACAGGCCTGCTGGTGCCACAGTGACCCCAGGGCCACACAGCCCCTGGGTAAACAGGGTTGATCTGAGGTGACAGCCTGTCCTCCCAGGGCAGCCCTCATCCTGGCCCCGCTCCTCTACCAAGGCACGGTGTTGGCCTTAGGACCCTGGGAACCAGGTCAGGCTACTCCGGGAAGTAGGCTCACAGAGGACCTTGGCCGTTCCTTCTCCTCCTCCCTCCCTCCCTTCCAACGGCTGTGCTCTGCCCACTTACTGAGCTCCTCTCTGGGCCTCAGCTCTCTCATCAGTAGAGGAGGTTTAGTTTTGGTTTGGTTTTTGACTGAACCTCTGATGCCTTTCCCACAAAGGGACATGGTCCATTAGGCTCCCCCACCCTCACCTGAACTTTGGTTCTGTTTTGAAAATCTTACTTGGGCTTCACTTCACAACTTCTAGTTGGCCCGTGGAGCTCAAAAGAGATCCTGTGCTCACCTAACTCAACAGCATCATTTATTTACAGGAGGAGAAAACAGAGGGGGCAATGGGCTTGCTAAAGGTCACACAGGCTGCTTAAGAACTCATGAGTTCTGACCTACACCCGCGGAGGGTGGAAGCCAGTTTTTCCAGGACGTTTTTGAGGGTACATTTCCTAGAGGCCCTGCTGGGGTCACTGGGTGGGAAGCTGCTGCTGTCACCAGGCTGCCCACGGTCTAGCCCAGGCAAGACTTTCCCTTAGAGGGGACCCACAACTGCTGAGAGGCTCTCTGAAGTGAAGACTTCCTAGCATCCAGGCAGCAGGCGCCTCAGCAACCACACAGACGGCAGCTCACCTGTATTCCTGCGGAGAGCGGTGGTGACTGAGCCCCGAGCTTCTGATCATTCCTGACGTTTTGGGAGGAATGTCACTCTCTATCATTGGCTTAGAGGGGGAAAACACACACACACACAACACACACAAAGTTCCCATTAGCGCTGATGTAGGCAGGCTGAGACCCACAGTTCCCCAGAGTCAGAAGCGACTCACAAATCCCAGGAAAATCCTATAGGAGTTTAAAAGCTAAGTGAGGAGAATGGGTGAAATTCCAACTTCTTTCAAATTCGAGGGGGAGGGGGAATCCCTAAATGGAAACGTCAAGCTTTGGAAAGCCCTGGCAAAACCGAAACCCGAACTCCGTTTGCTTCTGAACCCCATCTCCACCGCTATTCAGCTATGATCAGCTTACAAATACATGCTCATCAGCAAAGTGGGGCTTGATGGGTCCGGAGAACCATCCGCGGGGCTCCAGTCTTGGAGGAGACTCCAGACAGGCGTGCTGGAAAACCAGTCCACGCACCACACCATGCACCACGTTATCCACCCGGCCACCCACAAACACGGCATTCAGTAAGATTCCCGGGGTACTCCTTAGTCCTCCAAGCCAGGCCTGAACGAAGCAGGCGTGGGAAGCTTCCAGCCCTGCTGGGGCCCCCGTGGATCAGACGGGGCGCGCAGCACGGGCTGCACCGTGGTACCTGGAGCGGGTCCTGGGAGCGCTGGGGGCGGCGCTGCGACAGGGTGGGGGACTCCCTTGCGTTCGCCCCTCGCTGTCCGCAATTTGGCTGCCGTCGCAGCTCTAACCGTTTTTAAATTTCCCTCTCTGGAGCTGTCCAGCTCTGAGCATGCGCGGTAGCGTGCCGGAGGGTGGGGTGGGGTTGGGGGGCTGTTTTCTTTCACCTCCTTTTCTTCAGGGGTCAGTTACAGGGCAGGGTCAAGGGGATCTCAGCTGGCGAGTTCCAGCAGCTCAGCCTCGTGCGCCCCGGGGCTCCCGGGCCTCCTGGGGTGGGGCTGTTACGGCGGGGGCGGGGGCGGGGGACACACATACCCCTCTTTAACTTTGCGAGCATGCGTGCGGGATGATGGGCAGGGCTGAGATGCAGATGCTGCGGACAGGGGACCTGGCGGGCGGAGGAGGAGAGAGGCGCGCACTGAACTTGTTCCCCCCACACACACCCTCGGGAATGTTCTGGGGCCACCTGTGGCTTGGAGAAAGTTGAGCCCGCGCCAAGCAGGGAACCGCTACAGGGCTCAGGCCGTTGGGGACAGTGGCCCGCCGGGGCTCCCGCGTTGCTCTGGGCTCCACCCCACTCCCGCCGCGGGAAAGGTGGCGCCAGCGGCAGTGCAGACGGTCTCCGGACAGGGCTCCCGCAGCTCTGGAGTGTCGATCCGGAAGTCAAAGGCTACAGGGTCCTCTCCACCTGGAGATGCCCTCTTTGCCGTGCCCCCTTGCATGGGCTCAGGTGTCACCTGGTACCCACGGGACAGCCATACCCTGCGCCCCCTCCCCCGCCAGCCCTTACTGTCCCACGTTGGGTGTTCTGCACTGTGACCCAGGAGCCCTTAAATCCCAGGTAGAGCCCCATCTTCTAGGGCTGAGTGTCGGGATTTCGGTCCTATCCTGTCCATGTTCCCACCCCGTGACACCCTGGTGGTTATGTCCTTAACAATCTGGTCATAGCTTTCTTGTGGCACCTGGGAGCTCTTGATTCTTCCTTCCGTCCCAGAAAATACGTTGACTTGGACTTGTGTTAACCTGAGAAACGTAGTTTCCAGATGTTGATCCAGGCTGTGGTTGGGAAACTTTTGTTTTCTTCTCTTTCCGACTGACCTATGTTTAAAATCTGGACTTGGGCTGGTTACAAAGGCTGAAGGAATCATGTACATGGTCTGTGTTGCTTTGAACTTCCCCAGAGGGCCCACTACTAATTCACCTGTTTGCTTCTCTGCCTCCCAAGCGTTTGTGGGTATCTTAACTTCCCACTGAGGTAATCCTGCTTTCCATTAAGATGGGATATGGCTCCTTAGAGGGGCTGGGAAAGAAGCTCCGTGTTCTGAGGGCTAGTGTGGCCATTAACAACAAAACCTTTAAAGTGATGTGGAAAAGAAGGCGGGATGGAAAGGGAGAGGGAAGGGAGGAGAGGGAGAAAAAGGGGAGGAGGAAGGGAGGGGAGGGGAGGAGGGAGAAAGAACACTGTCTTTGAAGCGCTGGCTTCTCTGCTTGAGTTTTGGCTGGGAACTGTCATCATTTTAAACTGAAGAATAGAAATTTTGAGTTCTTTGCTTGGGGATCAGTTGGTAAAACAATGCCACCCAGATGCCACCGCTAGGAAGATCCAGAAAACCCTTTTATTAAACTAACGTATTTCCTCCCTTTATGGCATCTCTCCACTCTCAGTCACCTGGTGGCTTGGCACCTCTTGGCACCTTGAAGGGATGAACTGGGGACAATTGAGCCAAGGGTGACCAGCCCTAGTCTGCCTTTCTTGGTTAAACGAAAAAGGATGCAGTTTACCTATGGGGGGGGACCCCAAGCCTCAGACTGAGTCTGATTTTGCTGGGACACTTCAATAGCCAGAGCCCCATAAGGCCTCCCAGAAACCTGCGTGAGACAGCAGACATCTCCCTAGAGAAGGAAGTCTTGAAGCAGAGAGGAGCAGGATTTGTTCGAATCTGGGGCTGTGTGTCTTATGTTTTTTGTTTTTGTTTTTTTTAAATATTTATTTATTTATTTATTATGTATACAATATTCTTTCTGTGTGTATGTCTGCAGGCCAGAAGAGGGCACCAGACCTCCTTACAGATGGTTGTGAGCCACCATGTGGTTGCTGGGAATTGAACTCAGGACCTTTGGAAGAGCAGGCAATGCTCTTAACCTCTGAGCCATCTCTCCAGCCCTGTGTCTTATGTTTTGATGGTCACTTCTGAGGAGACGGAGGGTGCTTGTGGTCAGAAGAAAGCTTTTGCCCTGCTGTTGCTGCTGTTGACTAAGCTGGCCATAGTCAGGTCAGCCGTAGCTGGGAACATTCATTTATCCTAAGAAACGGGTTTCGGCAGGGCTCTCACTGCACAGCTGACAATACTAACTCACTGGCAAGAGTTAAGCAGGCTTTCTTTGATTGAGAGGCTCAGTTTCATTACAGGTCGTGAGCAGCCCTCCTTTCCCCACAAATCTTGGCTTTCCTGTTGCTGAGTGTTGTGATCTTTTTGGTGAGAAGGACACAGTGACAGCAAGGACCCATGATCTGCAGCATCAGGACCACTTCTCTCTCTTCCCACCCAGGAGCTGCCCACACTGTTCAGCAGTGAACTGCTGGGCGTGTCTGTGAGGGGAATTACTAAACTCTTTCTTCATCCAATATGCCCAGGGTTATAGCCTCTAACTGTGTCATGCACAGGGTGGGCACTTGAGAGCCAGGAGTATATTTTTTTTTCTGACTTTGTCCACTGTTAGAAACAAAAACTACATAGGAGACATGAGGAATTTCTCAGAGGAAACAAACTCTTCAGCATCCTCTTCAATACACAATCATGATGTGGTTTCTGAGTCCGGCACAGCCTCAGAAGGGTCCAGGGAGACCACGGCCAATGTCTGGAAACAATCCTCGAGTGCTGAAGAACGGATTCTTCCTGTGGGAGACATGGAGGGCATTGATGTCTCTTGTTCCCACCTGTGTTGGAGTCCCCTTGGGGCATGGCTGTAGAGGACCTGCTGCTAACTTGTTACCCATTTCATCTGTATGAAATCCTAGACCCAGCTTAGCAGCTGTCACGTTTCCATCTCATGAAATGCAACAATTATATAAAATTGGTCCTTTTAAGGAATGTGGGACAAATTGCAGGAGCTTTTTGCTTCGTTTTGAAGAATTTCCTTCCTCTTCAGTTTAGAATAAACCTCATTTGGTTTTGTCATCTTCAATATGTCCAAGGATTCTTATATTACACTGGTCTTGTTTTCTTTGGGTTGTATATCTTTAGAGATTTTTTTCTTTAGGATATAAAAAAGAGGGGGTCTTTTCCTTGGGACTGGAAAAACGTATTAGGACTGCTGAGTTGAGTGGGGAGTCTTTTGGTCGGTATAAAAATTCCTGGGTGCTGTGCCAGTGCAGCCTGGATGCCAAGATTGGCGGCAGGGGGAGGGGTGGAGAGGTGGTGGTGGTGCCGCCCAGATTGAACACGGAGGTCTCTTTACAAGTGGAAGAACAGCAACCTTTATTTTGCCCTGAGCTAAAGCCTTTTATACCTCCTCTGCTTCTGTGGAAAAACACCGGCCAGAAGGAACACAAACATCCTTGTCAATTACAGACCACAAGGAAGTTCCACTGTGGGTCAGGGGGAGTGAGGGCAGCCCGATCACAACACTGGGCTGTGTGTCTGCTCAGGCCTGCACTGTGACACAGCAACCAAGGGATTCACAGGTTCAAAACGGGTCTGATCAGACCTTCTGTGATAGACTGAAACAGGTCTTGAAGTTCAGCGCCAAGTACATGCACACTGGCGGCAGATTCCCTGTACAAATAAAGAGGAGTTCAAAGCAAATGCTTTGGGGACGAACTTCATGTTGTTATTTCAGCGAATATGGTCTTGGTTGTGATAATACCAAGTATTATGAAGTACTGAGCAGTTAGCCTATTTGGCTTGACCTTTTTAAAGGCAAAGTAAATTAGCACTGAAACTATAATGGGTGCCTAGAACTAAAACAACTTCATCTTGGCTATCTCTCGGTGGCTATTACTCAACACACATCTCATTATTAGACTGTTAAGTGGCAGTCATTAGGTCCTGAAAACTTCTGAGACACCTTCCAAATCTCTACAGACATGATGGGTTGTGTGGCCTAATCCTAGCTGGAAGCACCTTGGGGGAGTGGAAAACGTGTCGTGGCATCTCCCGCCAAGCGGCTTTGGGCCATTTGGCCTTCCCTTCTTAGCCTTTCCTGAAGGAGTGACAGCCCTCAGCTTGCAGGACTGAAGCTGAACAGGGCACCTGATGCCTTGTGGGCACTCAGTGGTGAGGGCGGAGTTTCTGGGTAGTTCTGTGGCATGGGCCTCCCAGGCAAAAGCAGCAATCAACGTTTGTTTTGAGAAGGAGTTCAACTTTTTCAA